ATCCAGAGACAACAGATGCTGGAGAGGATGTGGAGAAATAGGAACACTCTTACACAGTTGGTGGGAGTGTAAATTAGTTCAACCATTGTGGAAGACAATGTGGTGATTTCTCAAGAATGTAGAAATAGCAATTCCATTTGACCCAGCAATCCCATTACTGGGTATATGCCTAAAGAACAATAAATCATTCTATTATAAAGACACATGCACACGTATGTTCATTGCAGCACTGTTTACAATTGCAAAGACCTGGACAAAAAAAATGTGGCACATAAACTATGGAATACTATGCAGCCATAAAAAATGATGAGTTTATGTCCTTTGTAGGAACTTGGGTGAATCTGGAAGCCATCATTTTCAGCAAACTGATGCAAGAACAGAAAATCAAACACTGCATGTTCTCACTCATAGGGGGGTGTGAACAATGAGAATGTTCAACAATGTGGACTCAGGGAGAGGAGCATCACACACTGGGGGCTGTTGGGTGTGGTTAGGGGAGGGACAGTGGGGGGTAGGGATGGTGGGGAGGGATAAAATAGGGAGAAATGCCGGATATAGTCAAAGGGGAAATAGAGGCAGCAAACCACCTGGTTGTGTATGCACCTATGCAACAACCCCCCATGACATGCACATGTACCCCAGAATGTAAAGTAAAATTAAAACAACAAGAACAACAAGAAACAGAACTAGCACTCAACTCAGCAATCCCATTACTGGGCGTATACCAAAGGAATGTATATCATTCTACCATAAAGTCACATACATGCATGTGTTCATTGCAGCCCTATTCACAATAACAAATACATGGAATCAACCTAGGTACCATCATCAGTGAACTGAATAAAGAAAATTTGTACATATATACCATGGAATATTACACAACGATAAAAAAGAATGAAATCACGTTCTCTGAAGCAACATGGATGGAGCAGGAGGACATTATCCTAAGTGAATTAATGCAAGAATAGAAAACCAGATACTGCATGTTACCTCTTATGCGTGGGAGCTAAACATTGAGTACACATGGAAACAAAGAAGGCCACAATAGACATGAGGGCCTACTTGAGAAGGGTGGGAGGGGATGAAGATTGAAAAACTTACTTTGCTTATTATCTGGGTGATGAAATAATCTGTACACCAAACCCCCATGACCATAATTTACCCACATACTCCCTGAACCTAAAATAAAAGTTGAAATGGAAAAAAAATTATACAAAGAGGTACTGCTAAAAACATAATAGAGGAAACAAAATGTAATACTGAAGAATATTTGTTTAGCATAAAAGTAGACAGAAAAGGAAGAATAGGAACAAAACTTTTATGGCACAAATAGGAAACAATAGCAAAACCCAATCATATTATTAACTATATAATATTTATGGACTAAACACACAGTAATTATCAGTATAAAAATCCATTTATCTTAGTCTTTTTAAGAAATCTACTTTTCAATGAAAATAAAGATAGACTGAAAGTTAAGCAAAATCAGAAAAGACATACCATACAGAGTAAGCATATGAAAACTGCTATAGCAATATTAATAAAAAATAAAGTGGACTTTATGACAAAAAGTGATATCTGAGATTAAGTGGAGATCTTCACAGTTATTGAAATATCAATTTATAAGATCTAAAAAATCTAAAGGTTCAAAATATTATAAATATTTATGTACCTCATAACAGTGCTTCAAAGAACATGAGGAAATACCGGAAAAATGAAAGAAAAATAGGAATCCGTATTTACAGATTGAAAAAATCCACATTTATTTTTTTACGAAGAGAGACAATGCATTGAACTGTGAGTTAAATTTCAATAAAATTCTAAAGTTTGACATCCCAGAGAGTACGTTCTCAGATCATAAACATCCAGTGTAGAAATAGAAATTATAATATTTAATAAAGCCCAAATATTTGGAGATTAAACAACAAAATCACAAGAGAAATTAGAAATTACGTTAAATAAATGATAACATAAAGCATTTCTGAATTCATGAGAAGCAGTTAAAGAACTGCTAGAAGGAAATTTATATTTAAAAGCTTATATGATAAAAGAAGAAAGTTTATAATCATAATTTAACATTCCAAATTGATAGGTAGCAAAATAAAATAAAATTTAAACTCAAAACAGGTCAAATGAATAATATAATAAATAGAACAGAATCAATGAAAATACAAAAAATGAAAACACAGATTTTTTAAAAGATTAAGAAAATTGATAAATCACCGCTACCATAAGTGATTAATAAAAGGAGAAGAGCAAAACATAATCACTTTAAAACTTAAAGAAGAGATATCAGTATAGATGCTATAGACTTCAAGAAGATAGTAAGGGAATTTTTTAAACTGTCTATTATTTGACACTTTAGATGAATTGAACAAATTAATCGAAAAATATATCAAAAATTGACCCCCCCCAAAGGTATTAATACAAAACCTATCTAGCCCTATGCCTCATAAAAAATAGCCAATGCATTTAAAAATGTTCTTCCCACAAAGAAAACTAGAGGCTTACATAGTTTCACTGGGGAATTTGTTAAGCATTTTAAAGATAATTAATTTTAATGTTAAGTTATTTTAGAAAACAGAGGAAGAGGAAGTTCATTTCCCAGATCATTTGTTGATGCCAGTATACCCCCTGACAAAGATATTATAAGGAAATAAAATTATAGACCTATCCAATATCTTTTATGAGAGGATGTCAAAATTCTTAACCAAATATTAGTCAATGGAATCATCCAATATATAAAAATGATAATATATCATAACCAGATGGATATTAACTCAAAAATGCAAAGTTGGCTTTATATTTTAAAAATCAATTTGTGTAAATTGACCATGTTAACAGAGTAGAGGAGAAAATCCTTATGTTCATTTTAGCAAGTTTCAGAAGATATATGATAAAATTCAAAACAGTTTTGTTGTAAAACTCTCTGGAACCTAGGAATAGTAGGGGACCTACTGTACATAAAAAACAAAGCATGTACATAAAAAATCTGCAGTTCACATCATACTCAATAATGAAATATTAGGTTTCCCTTTAAAATTGAGAACAAAGTGAAGATGTCAGCTGTCACCATTTTTAGTTAACCTTGGCATAAAGATTGCAAAGGAAGAAGTAAGCCTGAAGGTAACACGATTGTTTATGTGTATGTTTCTCAAGCATGTAGTTTAAAACTACTAGAGTGAATAAGGATGGCTATAGGACATACAGTCAATATTAAAAAATCTTTAATAATTATTTTACACAATTGAAAAACTATTTTTAAAAAACAATTTTTTTTTACAATCATGCAAAGGAAAATACTAAAGATTAATTTAACAAAAGATATGTAAGATCTCTATACTGGAATAGTGACATGAATAAAGAAGATAGAAATAAATGGAGAGATAGGCTATGTTTGTTGGTTAAATGACTCAATATTATCATGATGTTATTTTTCTCAATATTTGTTTTCTTTTAACATTTAATTTTATTTTATTGAGAAAATTGTATGACATATTTTGAAATATATAATATATATATATACAATTGAAATCATTATATCAAGCTAATTAACATACTACCTAACATAATAATCAATTTTGTTCTGAGAACATATAAAATCTATCCTCAACATTTTTCAAGAATATATTGTAATTAACTATAATTACAATGTTGTATTAACACCATTCTGTACAATAAATATCTTCGATGTGTTTCTACAATCTAACAAAAATTTTGTATTCTTTGACCAACATCTCCTCAAACTCCATTCTCCATATTTGTATATAGATTCTGTGCAATAATCTTAATATTTTCTGTAATTGACAAGTTGATTCTGCAATTGTATGCAAACACACACACACACAAAAACCCTACTATAGACAAAACAACCTTGAAAAGAAAGAATAAAGTTGGTATATTATACTACCTAAATTCTAGACTTTTCAAAGCAATGAAGATAGTATGATAATAGCACATAGAAAAATAGATGCTTGAAACATAACTTTCTAAAAATTGATCCCTGTAATACATCAATTGATTTTTCAATGAATGGTGCTAGAACTTAAAGTTAACCATATAAATCTGGTTACTTATTTCACATCACACACCAACATTTACTTGATATGGGAAATAGCTCTGTAAGTTAAAAATTTGGTTTTTAGAATAAAAAAATAATATTTAGACTTTGAACATGTACTTCACAAGAGAAGATATAGGAACAGTCAAGAAGCCCTTACAATGAAAATTAAATCCATAATCAGATGCCATTTCACACCCACTAGATGACTAAAATCCAAAAAGATAGTCAACATCAAATATTAGGGATGATATAGAACAACTGGAACTCATGTAACTTTTTGGTGAACACATTATACATTATTACTAATTTGGCAAAACGTTGATGGTTTCTTATAAAGCCAAGCATCTACCTATCCTATGTAAAAAGCATTCTACTAAGTATTTACATAAGGTAAGTAAAGACATGACTATAAAATAACTCGTATGAAATTATTTATAGGAGCTAAGCTAAAACTGGAAATGATCCTAATATCTATCGACAGGAGAATGGATTTAAATTTTTGATATGTTTATGCAGAGAAATATTACTCAGCAATTTCTTTTAACAAAAGAACTACTGATGCACAAACAACATGGATAAATCTTAAAATATGTTGAGTGAAAGAAGAGAGACACAGGCTTGTATATGCTGTATGATTTCATTTTTATGAAATTCACTAATAGGCACAACTAATTTATGTTCTAAAAATCAGAACAGAGTTTGCCTAGGGGTGGGACTGACTGCAAGGAGCCATGATAAAACTTTCTGGTGTGATGGAAATGTTTTATCTCACATCCTCAAAGATTTAAGTCAGTTTCAACAATGAAATGTTCCTACTCACCTTTAATTTGAAGTTCAACTTTTTAGAGAAACTTTCACAATTATTATATTTTTGTATAAAACATTTTTGTATGAAAAAGCAAAAAAATAACCTTTATAAAGAAGAAGCATACTTTACCCCTTTTGGTCTGAAGAAGCCATTAGTGCATGTCTCACAGTTTATACCAGCAGTGTTTTGGGTACAATTAATGCAGACACCCCCTCCAATATACTTTCCATGTATATTCAAACTCAGATTTCTTCTGGCAACATTTTCATCATAATAGCATTCTTTAGCTTTTCCATGACAATTACATGCTGGATTAGGGAAAAATAAATTAAATAAACATAATTTCAGGTTTCAGATACATTTAAAAATCATTTTTGTGATACATAATAGATTTTTATACTATACAGGAAAGTACATTTAGCATACACATGCACAAAGATATCTAGACAGTATCTGAATTTATTGGATGTCTTAATAAATTCACATTAATTTGAAATAATTAAAACAAATTAAGCACAAGCATATGCAATTTTCATTATTTGATTTTGACTAACGGAAGTGCAATTTTATATGGTTCAACTAATAATTTCCTATTATGACAAATAATACATTTTTGAATGATGTCACTGAATGATTAACAGCTAGGTAATCTGTAATGAATTATTGCTATATGGAAATGTCTGTTAGATCCTATGGATAATGAAGGACATGTGTAATACATTTTCTTTCTATTAACACTAATAACAACTAAAATGTATTTAGGTTTTCTTCAATGCCAGACACTGTCCTAAGTTCTCTATATTTATTACCACTGATTTTAATCCTTAAAAATGCTTTTAGGAATAAGGTATTATTATTATTAACCTATCTTTGCATACTCTTTCCATGTGTGTGTGTGAACCTGAGGCCAGAGAAGTAAAATAATTTGCAGAAGATAATCTAATCGGTATTGGAAACCAACCTCTGAAGCCAGACTCCAGAGTCTACTAAAGACTGCCGGAATCCCTTCACATTCTACCTGGTAAGCAAGATAAGATACATGACAGGTGGCAAGCAATTAAGACAAACTGAGAGCTGGTTTACTTAGTGGCTAAGGTCTTGCTATTTTGCACCCCACTGTCTTGGATTTGCGTGTGCTCTCCACTACTTAGTAGTCATGTGATGTTAGAAAATTCTTAATTTCACAAATGCTTAGTTTCTATATAAAACATGGAGTGGTCAATAGCAATTACTAGATTGGGATATTTAAAAGCACAAATGAGATAATGCATGTGAAATCATTAGCATAATGTCTTATAAATAAGTTCACAATTGATTTTTCTTCTCTTCATCCTCCTTGTCTCTTTCATGTTACATTAGAAGAATTCAAAGAAGTAAAAAATTATTTTTTCCAGAAAGGATTGGGTAAGACTCTTTAAAATATGAATAATTTATATTAGGATAGAACTAGGGAAACACTAAGGCAGCGTCTCCTTCCTGCATGAGATGTTGAATTTCTTAGGAGTTCTAACAGTCATTTCCACGTGTGTGTATGTGTAGGTGTGTATGTAGGTGCCCTTGTATGCATACAGCTCAATCTTTTTATTCTTCTGCAAAAGGGAAGGGGCATTTGTATATTTTTCAGAACTGTCTCATTTTACTAACAGTAAATCATGGAGCTCTGTCCATATTAGCATGTGTATCCTCTAATGGTACAGAGGGTACTACTTGAATGAAGGTATTTACCAGGTATCTATTAATGAACAATTACACAGTTTCCATGTTTCTCCTTTACGAATAACACTGCACACATACTAGGAGAACAAGGATGCGGGGTGGAGGGAGGAGCTCTAATATTAGAAAAATTTCCTGTTTGCCAGTTGACCGATTTTGAGGCAAAAAATCAAGTCCTAAAATCCTTTTAGTACTTGTCTCTTATACTTGTTTTGAGAATGCTGAGCAGAATGCCTGAAACATACTAAATACTGAGCTCAATAAATGTTAGTAGCAGTAGTGGTAGCACTTGTATAAAAATGACAAAGATCGTGATAGTATTCCCTTTACATCTATATAAATATCTCTATTGGCTAAATTCCTAGAAGCATAATTTCTAGTCAAAGGGTGTGTAAAATTTAAATTTTAATCACTTAAAAAATTCCCTCCAGGAATACTATGACAAATGACTTTTCTTCTAGTAGAAATGATAAAACAGTTTCTCCATAGCCGCCAACCTTGTGTGTTATCAACCCATGAATACAATTCCTGGACATAGTAGGCATTCAAATATTTGTTGAGTAAATGAATGAACACTTTGATAAGTTAAAAATAATATTGTCATTGTTTTAATTGATACTTCCTTAATTATGAGTGTGATTATATTTTTACAAGGTTATTTGTAAATACCATTTCTGAGAAATACCTGTTTGATCTTTACTCATTTTTAACAGGTTAATTAACTTTTTTCTTATTGATATGTAAGATCTCTTAATATAGAAAAGTTATTACACCCTTGTAATGTTTGTTGTAAATACCTTTCCTGACTTGCTGACATTTGATTTATAATATAGTATTTTTGCTGTGTTAATGGAGAGTTTCAAACTTTGGGGAATGCATAGTAATAAATATAAATCACTAGGCATTATAAACAGTTTTATATCTTTAGGACAACATACAAGAATTCCTTTTTCTTTCTTCAAAAAGACAGTGATATGGTTTGGCTCTGTGTCATCACCCAAATCTCATATCAATTGCAGTTTCCACTTATGGAGGGAGGGAGGAGATTGGATCAAGCGGAGGTTCCCCCATGCTGTTCTCGTGATAGTGAGTGAGTTTCTACAAGATCTGATGGTTTTATAAAGGGCTTTTCCCCCTTCACTTTCTCCTCCTTCTCCTGCACCACGTAAGACATGCCTGCTTCCCCTTTCCCCTTGATTGTAAGTTTCCTGAGACCTCCCTAGCCATGCAGAATGGTGAGTCAACTAAACCCCTTTCCTTTATAAATTACCAAGTCTCTGTGGCTAACACCTTCCATGGGCACCGAGGAAGGAGACTGTCCAGACCCCAGGCACAATTAGTGCCTAAAGAATATCTTAGTTTATAGTGTTATTGCTCAGCTGTTTCCTTTATATAATCCTGCATATATAATCATACATTAGTTTATAAATTAGTGCTTGAAGTATAACTTACTGCTTACATATATCTAGTTTATATAATCATACTTAATAATTATATCTACTTAGTTCTATATAAACTTTCTATATAATCATATAGGTATTGCAGTCAGAGCTGTAATGACACATTTAGCGCTAATTTATATGATCCTTCTGTATTAACCATATAGTAGTTTGTAGTAGGAGGAATGCCTAGAGCAGTCACAGAACAGAAGCAGTACATGGAAAAACAGCCAGACCAGGATGAGAACCAAAGATCCAGGTGGTGGTGTCCCTACCTGAAAGGGCATACACTGTATGGCAGGCTTGGAGCAAGAGCCTCTCCTCCTGATAAAGGAGTTGCAGCACCTTGCATCCAGTTCCTGTGGAAAGCAGGCCTCAGGCCTGAGATCCTGGAAGTAACCGAGGGAGAAGAACCTCTCTGGTGTGACCAGTCCCAGTGGCTGTACACCCTATCAGTCTTTTCTTGCTTCTGTGCTAGCTCAAATCATCCTCCCATAAATATCTTAAAAGAAGAGCACAAGTCTGCCAGCTCCCACTGCATTAAGCTTACAATATCTTTCTATTAGAAATCCTTTGAAGTCTTGGGGCCCCAGATAAGAAGTGTTGCACACAACACCTGTTGCACACAGCCCACCTCCTTGCCTCAGTGACCTATTGGGGGTGGACCCCTTTTCTGCACGTGACCCTCTACTACTGTGCACAGCATGGCCCCCTGCTGTACACAGCCCACCTCTCTGCCCAGGTGACGTAATGGAGTAGCCCCCTCGCTTGTGACTCACGTGATTATATATACCCTATTACTAAGCCTATAGATGATGACCTCATGCATGACCCTGCCCCCTGCTTGCACCTAATAAATACAGATGCACTGGGGCATTTGGGGCCTGCCACTGATCTCCACTCACAAGTGGTGTGGTCTTCCGAGTCCAGATGCTCTTCATCAGTTATTCAGTGTCCTGCCTCTTTACTTCTCAGATCCTGCACCTCAACACAGCATAAGGGACACCCCACGACCCTGTGGGGCCTCCACAGCCCTACAAGTCTCATGTAGTGTCTTTATAGCAGTGTGACAGCAGAATAATACAGAGAGGGTCTCACTGCGTGTCTTAGGCTGGCCTCAAACTCTTAGGCTCAAAACATCCTCCCACCATAGCTCCTTTGCAGTAGCTGGGATAATAGGAGCATGCCATTGGACTGGCTATGAATTCTTAAAAACTTTGTTGTAAAAGTTTCAAGAAGCAGTCAAAACTTCTGCTGCCAGTATAAGCAGAGGAAAAGATAAAGTAATATAGACTTATTCTCATACCACTTAGAACTGATGTTGTCAAGAGTGTTTAAAACTATGAGCCACTATAGGTAAAACACAGATGCCAAAGCAACAGTCCTTCACACACTCTGTGCAGCCAGGACCCTATACCTATAGCCTCACTTGCTGTCTGTGGGCCACAGCCTACCCAGCTCTGTCTGTAGCCTTCAAGAATATGGCTAGCAACTGATCATGAAGCCATGTTTTTGCTCTGTCATCAGCAGCTTACTACTTCACAGAATGTCCAAGATATATCATATTTAAACTGCTCTTTAGTATAGGCTTATCAATTGAATGCATATTCTATGTTCTTTAGAGATATATCTTGCCTTAGGTAAGCTAGATTGATGAAAATCCAAATTAAACTCAAATGAATTAGAATGTGATTATTCATTTTATGGAGGGATTTGTCATGTCACAGAAGGGTTTTTCTAAACATTAAGGTGATTGGAATATAATTCAACTTGGAAAAGAGTAATTTTACATAAGCTTTTAGGAATGTATTCATTGCTGAAAGTGTGATTTTTATCTAATGTTTTATGGCTAAGACCCCCATCTTGAATTTCTGGGTTTTTAAAATGTTTATTTTTCAGTTTGGAAATATGACCTCCCCACTTCCCTACAGGGAAAGAAAAATGTTTCACAAGCCCACTATTTAAAAAATGTATATAGTAGCAGTTTAAAATGTCTTGCTTTGCTTAGTCTACCTCTGTTGCTAACGAGTTGCTCTATTCCTTTTGTTCTGTATTTAAACATAGAAACACAAGGAAAGAGTGGTAAAGGATTTTGCAGAGCTACTTAACATTAGGTAATTATCACTGTGGAAAGCATGTCAGTGGCAACAGAAAGACTCCTACCTTCAAGTGCTGCTCCCACTTGTGATTGCTGATAGTCCACAAACAGAAAAGAAGTTTAATTAAAATTTAAAGGAGCTTGAGAGCAAACATCCCTGGATGGCATTACATTTAAAGTTACTCTTAAGAACAAATGTCTGTTCTCTATGGAGAAGCTCTGGAGAACTGAAGGATTAGCCAGAACATGGCTGGAAGTAGTTGAAGGAAACAAAGGCTGGGCCTCCAGTGGTCCCCCACCATGCATGGTGAGTAATGATCTAATGGTGTCTCAGGCCTCCAGATATGCCTCAGTAATAATGGGAGATTTCTAATCCATAATATCTTTATAAGCAGGCAGATACAAATCAAAAAGCAAATGAAATGAGTGCAGAAAGTGAGGAGACTTAATAGCATATGTGCAGAATCTCAAACTAAAAAGAAAATACAGTCATCCCTCAATATCCATGGGGATGGTTCCGGGACCTCCCTCAAACACCAAAATTCCAGGATACTCAAGTTCCTCTTGTAAAGTGGCATAGTATTTGCATACAACCTATGCACATCCTCCTGTATACTTTAAATTACCTCTAGATTACTTATAATACCTAACAAAATATAAATGCTATATAAATAGTTGTTATATTGTTTAAAAAATAACAAGCAACAGTCTGTACAAGTTCAGTACAGATGCAACTTTTTTAAGAAAACATTTTTGATCTGCAGGTGGTTACACACATGGATGGAGAAACCATTAATATGGAAGGCCAACTTTACATCTTATTGTATAGTTGGGGAATGTTTTATGATTAAGGTGTGCTATGATTCTATAGTTTTAAAGACCTGTCATGTCTGACACGTTATACATGATAAATGTGAGTTGAGTTAACTTGTTATTTAAAGAATATATGGTGTTGGTATTAATTTAAAATGTCTACCAAGCTGTTTTTGAAGGCCATATATACTTAATGAGCTGAAAAAATGTGGTCAGGGCTGATTTACTACAATATTAATATTTGAATTCAGTTAAATTGGACTTCATACTAGTTTAGGTTTACAGTTCAGCAGAAGACTACTGTATTTTTAGGTCTATTCTTGGGTTGAGAAAATCTTCAGGAACACAGGTTTCTCCATGATACCTGTCACCTAATAAGACCAGTTATCACTATTAGGCTATAAAGTCATCTGCTGCATTTCTTAGATATTTCCCTTTAGAAAAAGCTAGCCATATGGACTGTCTTTGAAGTGATAATATAAATGAGTATTTATTGACACATTTGCATAACCAGCCATTTTACTGTTTTTCATTACTGGCTTTTTTTTTTTTCTTGAAAAGGAAGAATGATATATTTTGTTGGCTTCTAAAGATCATACCTTCACATTCAGTTTTAGTCAGAAAAGTTCCAGCTCTCCAGGGTTTCTGATGGAATCCTGGACAGCACTGATCACAGCTGTCACCACATGTGTTATGCTCACACTCACAGCGAGATTTCTAGTCAAAAAGAGGGAGAAAGCACAAATTTTAACCTTATTTAGAACCATAAAGAAAGCCTCTCTCTAAAGGTACTATGAAGGAAAGAGAAAACATCTGGACTATGTACTAAAATGTAAAACTAGTCAGCCTGGAAAGAAAGTGGCGCCAGGCTTGACGTGGGTATATTTTATCAACATCAGCTGAAGGAAGTCCACGCTGGTTCTGGAATCACTGGGTTTAGGCTCAGAAGAAAGCAGGAAGGCCCAGCTGGGAGTGGTCTTAAAGACTGAATTCTCCTTCTGTGAGGCCTGGGTTCTATGTGTTTTTGGGATTGGTGTGCTTATTTTAAGACTCCCCTCAAAATGTTGCTAACATTTTTGGATGTGGAAAAGAGGAGGGAGTTGATTCCTAGGCCTCTTGGGAGGCTAAAACAGAAATCTAACGTCCCTGGAACTAAATATCCTGTCTGTATGTCCTCTGGATACTGTCTCAATTCACCTCATGGAATTGGCCTTCTAAGGCTGTCTTGTAGACTTTTGTATTTTATTTATTATTTTTTTTGAGACGGAGTCTCACTCTGTAGCCCAGGCTGCAGTGACGCGATCTTGGCTTACTGCAACCTCTGCCTCCCGGGTTCAAGAAGTTCTCTGCCTCAGCCTCCCAAGGAGCTGGGATTACAGGGGCCCGCCATCAATGCCCGGCTAATTTTTGTATTTTTGGTAGAGATAGAGTTTCACCATCATGGCCATGCCGATCTTGAACTCCTGACCTTATAAATCACCCACCTCAGCCTCCCAAAGTGCTGGTATATTTTTAAAGCCTGGGAAACACCGCTCACCAGTACACCTGATAGAAAGTACCCATAACAGGCAGAAAGCAACACTACAGCTTTGCCCATATAAATATGTTAATGTACTTTAATCTTCCTAAGAGATAACATTATAATCCAATAATCAGAAAACTAGCTTTGAGTATGTCATTTGCATTGCTATATTTGAAAAAAAAAAAAAATCTGTGGCTCTATCTACGTTCACTGATCTAACTATTCAATGTATTTTTCGATGTACTATACAGGAGATGAGTGTGGATTTCACCCGTTTGTCTATGACAGGAGAAATAGGTGCTCATTCATCTTCTACTTTAGGTTATGTTCACTTAATTCACTGTCATTAATGAAAAAAATCTATCCAAAAGCATTCTGGCATTTTCCGGCTTGCCACTATCAGTACTCTTTTGACGGTCTCATCCACTCCACCCCCATTGCCCCTGCCCTACTTTATCCTCCTTTTCCATTGCCACTTACATATTTACTTCCCTGCACATTTTTTATTCATTTGTGTTAATTTTTTGATTAAAAGCTTTAAAAGAAATGGTCAGGTTGATTGATGGCAGGCATTCTCTTAAGCTAAATCATAATGCAGGCTGTCATAGCTAGAGAGGTTTCAAAGTAGGCCAATTTGGAGCCTTTTTGGAAAAAAAAAAAAAAAAAAGGAAAAAACTAATCTGTTTTCTGATACTGTGATGGCTGATTTCAAAGTCTATCATCCCAACTGCCAGCTCTTATTTCACCCTGGCATGGATTTCTGTTACACTGCCTAACTGGGGACCTGACACTCATTTACAGCGTTCTCTGTCAGCAAAGACTCTCATGAAACATTTTACAGCTCAGGGCTTCATTTTGCCTAAGCATCCTATAAATATACATACATTTGTCGCTGGATCAAGTGGACAAGCCCTGGCATGACCATAGCAGATGCACATCCCTCCAACCGAAATATCCTTGACCGAGTAGTAATACTGCAAAAAGCAATCCAGAGAGAAATCCTGTTAAGATGACTGCAAGGTGAAAGTAACAAAAGGGGACATTCAGTAAAAACTTCATTTTCTGCTTTTATCCTTAGTTTGAAGGACATTTGTGCTTCTTGAGGACAAGTGAGGACTCACAAAACCGACAAAGTAAGTCCTAGCATTATAAACTTAGCCCAAAGGAAGAGAGCCTTTCATTTAAGCTAGGTGGGCATTTTAGAACTGTCTTTCTCCCAGTCAGCTATGGCTGAGAGTAGTTTTTATCAGGGGCTAAGGACAATTGCTCTTCATAAAAGTTGTTTTACATAGTATCTTGCAAGAAACCCTCTTTTATTGTGATTATAGGAACTGCAGTATTCACAAATTATATGCATGCTATTTTACTTGATGGAGTTGAAAAGAACCAACAAAATTTAGAGAGAAATTGTACTAAAAACAATATATTCCTTAACCATATTAAGAAGAAAATCGAAAAGTCATTAACTGTAAGCTTGTTGTGCAGAACATTTGCATTTTTATATTATTATGTTTAAAAGTCCATACAATTACCTTTTTATATGAAGTTAACATAGAGCTGTGTGACTAATTATTTTAATCTACCCAGCTATTTTTTAAGGATAATTATGGAAGCTGGACTATTTTTAAAATTTTAATTAATACGTATATAACATTTCATAATTGTCAGAGCACTTTAAATTATCATATTCAAATAACCATCTTAGTGTTAGATAGTTCTATTATTCCAATTATACACACAAAAGAAAAAGAAAACAGAATTAACAAGAATATGTAGAATGGACACATATCTGAGCTACCTCACTAAAAAATCTCCCTTTTCCAATTTACTTCTTTGTTTCCTTTTATTGGTTTTGTTATGTACATATAGTGTCTTTGAAAATATTTTCGCTATGTTATCTTATTTGATATACCTAGACCCTGGAACTGGCTGGAGAGTTTGGATAGTAGAAAAATCTTTTTTTCCTTTAAACTCATCACTTAATAATATAGATTCAAACAGAGATATTTGCTTAGAAAGGTGATACCAGTATTTGTAAATGCTTTTAAAATTGGGAAATCTATTTTAAATATGAATGTATAATTCTTTGCTTTTGAGTCATGAAGAGGAGCTGAAATTTTCTATCTTATTTTTATATATTTAAATTTAGATGTAGTGTTTATTAAACTTGGGTACTTTCAAAAATATATTTATATGTTGACTTATAGTGCACTATTTTAAAAGCTCATGTAAGATAAAGTTATAAATAATAGATGTGTGTCCCAACACCCACTGTGCCTTCTGCAAAAGATGGTAGAAAGAACACTAAATTATTTTCATTGATTTTTTTTCTCTGATAGATATACTGTCAAGAAAGATTAAATTTCACTCCAATATTATTTGGTCTTCCTTGGTGTATATGTTTAAGTCACACCAAAATTAGAATTAAAAATGTTTTCTTAAACGTGAAAAATCTAAACATTGCTATAAAATAATAATTAGTTTTGCATGAGACAATTACTATATGTTGAGATAAAATAAAGGTTAAATTATTTCAGGTTTAGAAAATACAGGGCACTAAAACATCTGACATATGTTATATGAGACTAACTAAAGCCTATAAAGTTATCTTGTGATGACGGAGAGGTTGGGTGTGGGGAAATTAAGTAACGAGGAAAGAAGGCATGTGAGGAGTATTTAGGATCTGTAACTATTTACCCTAATGATTCAGCAATTTGACAACTGATGACAGTGGTCTCACCTTAGTAGGATCATTCTAGAATAATTGCTTTGTCCTACAATATTAATTTCTCCCTATAGTCCTCTTTCTTAGTGATACCTCTAGTCATACAGTAGATACTGTATTCACATGTTTCCTTTATGGATTTATGGCTGAATTGACTTCCCTGGTATAAATGTCTTGGTTGTGTAGCAGCAGATGTGGGAGGTGCTATAAACCAATGAATGTGGTAGAAGGTAGACAGGAGGGAGCATAGTTATCACTCATAGCATTCTGGGTTGGTCATCTACCATGTAATCCCACAAATTCCTGTTTAAAAATGGAAGACAGCACTTCTGTTAGCTCTTGTGTTCAAAAAGCTTTGGAAAAGGTGCTTTAAGCGCTTTTCCCTCAATATTTTATTTGTAAAGGAAAATACATCAGTATGTAGAATCAGTTTCTCCTATAGCAGTGCATTTTAAAAACTATGGCTTTTGATTCATTAATCAAGCATAAAATCAAATTATTTGATGGTTCACAAACCAGCATCACCTGGAAACTTACTGAATTGCAGTATCTTAGCCCTGTTCTCTACCTACTGAATCATAACTTGTATTTCCACAAGATCACTGGCTAACTCCATGCACATTAAGATTTAAGACATATTGCTCTCTGTATGCGTGTATATGTGTATACTGGGTCAGTTGTGGCCAAAAAAAGAAATATTTCAAAGTCCCTGCACATCCAGTTGTAACTAGCCAAAGCCAATTATAATAGTAGTACAGATCACCTAAAGTGATGAAGACTAATTTTATCCTGAAAAACAAGATTATTAACTAGACATGGTGATTCTCATTTTACAAAAGAAGAAATGAAAGTTTCAGAAGGCTAAAATGTTTGGTAAATGTTACACATGTAAAAAGTGGCACAGCTCGGATCTGAACAAAGGAAAGTCTGCCAAATTTTAAATAATAATAATTAATAAAAAATTTTTAAATTCTAAAATAAAAAAATTGATAATAACCAGTCCTACAAATCACTGAGAGATTTCTTTTAATAGTATCTAACAGACAAATAAAATAAGTGGGATATCATTTGTAAGATCTAATATGGTTCATCTTAACTTACTCTTCTTGTGACAATGGGGTCAATTTCTCTTGGGTCTTTGTGAGCAAACATCATCAAGTCAGCATTCAAGGTGCGGATCCTCTGAAATCTCAGGCGAATATAGCGAGCGGAGGTAAATTCCAGCAGTTCAGGAGAAGGATCATCAGCACTTGGTCGCCCATTGATTAAAGAGATATGAATCTACAAATATGAAAAAATATTGACAATTGAGTTTACCAAAATTTACATAGCAATTTTGTTTCTTTTTCTTGGAAAAATAAAGGTAACTTCTCATTCTTTGAATTAGGCAGATTCAGGTACATGCCTATGAACTGGCATCTAGTGAAGTAATTTACATATGTTATAGTCCTCTTAATACATGTATATGCAACTTGTTTGTTTATATCATAGGCATTTCTCTATAAACTTCAACTACCTGTATTTCTATGCTCCAAGGCATTGCATCAACTTGACCTTCCTATGATTTCCATAAATTCTTAATCATTCTTTTTCTGAAAATTATTGTGCCCGAACTTATTTAAGAAGCTGGGGCATGGTAGGAAATCAGAAAACTTGGGGGAAAAGTTACAAAATATCAGATTAAGAAACAAACCCCTTAAGAACCTAAAATAATTCTATACTTGAAAGTGTCACATTATATAGCCTTAAAATGTGGAGAACAAAAATTACAAGGAAAACTAGACAAATCTATACTTACAGTGAGATATTTCACTAGGTTGTTGTGATTCGTGTTTTTTTAGTAACTGATAGGACAAGAAGACAAAAATTCACCAAGAATGTAACATACTCTATGAAAATCACACTCTAAAAAAATATGTTAAACCTGAATGGAATGGTGAAATTTTTAAGACAATAATTTAGCACAGTTGACACCAGAAGAAATACAATTCAGTGATACAATTTTATATATGAAAAATAATTGAGAAATTGCCAAGAAACTGCCCTCCAACGGTGTACAAAGCTGGCAGGCTCTCAAAGGGACTTCTCAAGAGCAAATAATTCTAATGAAGAATAAAGCGTGTGATAAAATAAAATGTACTGTTAGTACAGACAAAGGAAGTATGTTCCTAATACTTGAAGAACTCTTGTAAATCTACAAACAAAAGCACCAACAACATAACCAAATGCACAAATATATGAGGGCCCTATTCAAAGAAAAGAAAATTAAAATGGCTGTTAAACATTTATAAGATACTGATCCTCCCTCATGACAGGAGAAATGTAAATTAAAAACACACTGATAACATTCCCATTTTTTTCAGGTTGGCAAACCCCACAATTATTGTAATATACTCTGATGGTAAGGCTAAGAGAGTAGATACATGTCTCTTAAATTTACAGGTGTAAGTGTAAAATGGTACAAATTCCTAAGAAAGTCAATTGAGCAATAACTATCAAAATTAGAAATGCACAGTAATTTTGACCTAGCAATTTCACTTCTCGGAATTATCCTACAGATATAAAATAATATAGATGCTATATTACATGTGAACTGAATATGGCTAATGGACGGAATGTCTGCATACCCCTACTGAAATTCATTTGTTGAAAACCTGATCCCAGTGTGATGATAGTTAGGAGTAATTTGGTAGGTAATTAGATCCTGAGGATGGAGCCCTCATGAATGAGATTAGCGACCTAACAAAAAGAGGCCAGAGAGCTAGCTAGCTCTTTTTCCACCATGTGAGGGTACAAGCAAGTCAGCAGTCTGCAAGCCAGAAGAGAGTCCTCACCAAAGCGCAACCTTGCAGACACCCTGATCTCAGATTTTCAGCCTCCAGAACCACGGGAAATTTTTCTTGTTTACAACCCACCTAGTCTATGGAACTTTCTTATGGTCCCCATACTGACAAAGACACTATTATTATTTCGCCATTTTTGATTATAAGCTTTTTTGATCATATCAAAGGACTGGAAATAACCTAATATCCATCAATATAGGACTGGCTAAATAAATTATATATCTGCATAATGAATTATGTGCAACCATAAAAAATAATAAGGAATAAACATACTGATAGGAAGAAGTATGTACTTTCACTTTTTTTTTGTATCCTGTAAATGGATTATTACCTATGTAACAAATTGAATCAAACCAAAATTGTTAAAGAAAGTGAAATCGGGTGGTAGATTTCGAACTGAAAACACACACACACACACACACACACACACACACTTTCACACACACACACAAACATGCACACAGTGCTAAAGGGACAGGGATGGAAGAAGTGGGAGTCCTGTGCTGGGTGGGAGATGCTCGGGTACAGGACAGTGTGTGCACTGGGGAGCTGTGACTCAAGGTCACCCACTGGAATTTTCACCCACTTTTGTAAGATGATACATCATGTGTGTTAATTACATTTTTTGACAGGAGAGGCAATGATATGTATTTTCATTCCTAACGTCCTGCATTTGCATAATCCCAGGGAGCCTTTTACAAAGTGACTGCCAATAAACTACTTGAGTCATCAGAGAAATATAGCAAACTCTGAGATGAAAAACTAATTCTGGTGTCACAAGGAATAGACTCAGAATGCCTCATGATAAAAATATGAATATGTTCCGGTTAATTGAATCTACCTTGTACACTTAGTAAGGAATAGAATTCAAGGTCTTCTAAAATACTGAATCTGAACATACTGAATCCCCTCTAATGTAGGAATTCTAAAAGAGTAAAGCAGATCTTGTATATTACTCAAGGTCCACATTTCTGGCATCTAACAGGTGAGCCAGAAATGTGTTTAAAATTAGATATCTTTAAGGCTTAAGGAGGTAAGAGTTAAATGTTAAAAGAACGGACACATAGATGCAGGAAGCCACTAAAACTTGTTTGCCTTTGAGATTAACCATGGCACCCAAAAAGTCACCAGTGCCATTGAATTCATGCTTACATTTCTATCAAATTCTCCCTTGACTGCCCCCAAAAATACCACTTGAAAGAAAGGAGGAAATCACTACATGTCTAGGATTATAGTTTCTGAATGTTATTTGGGTTTATTTGGTATGAACGCTGTGATCAATCATGTTTGTGCTGTATAAAGAATCAGTAAGTTTCTCACTTAAAGATACAAAGAAGTTTTTTGGGGGGAAGAAAGGTGTACACATTCTCATTTAGGTTAATAAACCATACGATAGCTACATGGAAGATTCAGCAAAAGAACACTTCTCACAGCTTTGGTATTTTCATCAAGCTACTCTGCCAAGAGATCTTGTGAATATAGTTAGTCCCAAGCTGTTTCTGGAACAGAAAACAAGCCAGCTGTTTGGCGATGTTGTGTGCAGCTTCCTTCCACCGTTTTGTGTGTATTTTTTTCCCATTCTCTTTCAAAACAAATCATAATATTGGATAGGATATTTCCATTAGTACAATACAGTGTAATTCCAAGTCCGCTGGATAGTTTAGCATACTTCCTGATTTCCTATGGGGTGACAACCAGTGGGTGGTATCTATCTTCAAGGAAGTTGAAATGTATCTATCCCCAAGACCACCACTGTCTTGCTGTGAGGACCTGAGAAATCTGTGGCAGCCTAGTGTCTTCCAAAGTGGTTTCTATTACAGATGTGTTGGTGGGTGTATGTTCATGCTGTCACAGGAATTCATTCCAGTTGAAAATATCAGCCTATGGGTATCATCAACTGGTTTTTTAGATATTAAAATTATACTTTTCTTTGAAATTAGTTTTGCAAGGCAAATAAAGAGGGTGGGAACCTCATCAGAAACATCTCGTTTTATAACCAATGACTAAACCAATGTTATACTCTGTTCGCCCAAATAATTCTGTTTTTACTAGTGTAAGCATACTATATAAATTATGTTTCCTTTATGGATTAGTAAGACCTCTGTGCCTCTGGCATTTTTAGTTTAGAATACATTTTTTAAATGATTTATGCAGCAAATAATTAGATTTCTAGTATAGATGATTGTCCATTATTATGCTTGTCTATTTATGTTGCTATGTTTGTTTTAGAAAGCTGGAAGGGCTATAATTCTAATATCTTCCCCAACACAAGTTTCTTGAGTGAATGGATGGATGCGAGAGTGAAGGCTACTGAAAGATCATCAATAAGTATCAGAAACTTTGAAATAAGTAGCAGAAGTGGATAAAGTTGACAACTTGATGTGTGGTATGCTCTCTCTTACAACATTTTTGTATTATCAATCTCTACAAGTGTGCCAATGAAACAGATTAAACAAATTGAAAGTAAGCTGACCCCAGGAGACAGAACAGTAAATCCATATGTGTAGTTTAAGATTAAGGATGTATGGATATGGCCAAAGAATTTTTATGTAAATGAGTGGCTGAGACATCTGGGAACCTCTTAAATCCAGTCATGCTTAATATAGTATTATTTGGGGAGAAATAATAAGATTATAAAGAGAACTTTGAAAAATAAGCGTAATCTCTTTTATTTTGACTATGTGAAAAAAAGGAGTACCATCACCCTTCATCAGTTACAGTTTCAGGGGATTTGTGAAGATTGGTTCCAGGACCTCCTGTGGATATCAAAATCTGAGGATGCTCAAGGCCTTGACAAAAAATGGCATAGTATGTGCGTATAACCTACACACATCCTTCAAAATTATTTAAATTACCTCTACATTACTTCAAATACCTGATACAATGTAAAGGCTATGTAAATAATTACTACACTGTATTATTTAAGGAATAAAGACAAAAATGTCAGCACATGTTCAGTACAGACGCAGGTTTTCTTCTAATATTTTTCGTCTGCAGTCAGTTGAAGCCATGGAAGTGGAATCCACAGATTTGGAGGTCTGACTGCATACGTTTGAAGAAGCTAGGTGGGCTGCAGAAAGCTCAAGGAAAGGGAACAATGCAAGAACGGGTCGTTGGGTTTCTAGCACAGAGTAAAGGCTCTGAGTCTGGCTCTGGATGGTAAATAGGTACATTTTGGTTCATTCCTCCACAATACTCCTATTATTCCATTGGTCTTCCTCCATTCCACGGAAACTGCTCTTGGGAAAGTCATCAGTGTCCTTTACATTACTAACTGACATGTCCAATTCTCAGTCCTCGCCATATTTAATCTATTAGCAGCATTTGAGACAACTGATTACTCCACTGACTCTCAGAACACACTGTTCTTGTTTTCCTTCTACCGCTTAAGCTACCCCCTTCTCAATCCCCTTCACTGCTACATTTAATCCTCCCTAA